GGTACAGCAGTTTACAAAAAACTCCCAGCTTACAAATTGTAATTACCAGCTCTACGAGGATGTGAACACTTTTTACAAGTCAGAATCTCGTAGTGACTGTAATTACATGGCGTGAACGCACCTTTAGTATATGGGAATCACAAGCTCTGATGCTGCCTTCACGTGCTATCGGAAATTTCCTTTATTCCTATTTCAGAAGTTGTGCGAAGGATGAACGAGCTTGTTGCATTCAAGTGCTTTGTTTTTGGAATTAGAGGTCTACACAGAGGACCCGAGACCCAAGGACCCGGCACCCGACCCAGGATCCGTACGGGTTCGGGGTTATGTTTTAAATGGTCAGCCGGGTCCAGGTCGGGTCCCAATCTATTACTTCGGGTCCCGGGTCTGTTTAACATTGTGCGTAATACCCGAGTCGTTCGGACTCGGAGAACACCCGGCCGTTATCAGAGTCAGTCAGCGCTGTGCGTGTGTTGTTTTGTAACTTTCAACTTGTAAAATTAGGATGAGAAAAGTGTGAGTCGGTAATTTGAAATAAGGTGGGAAAAAAAAACACGAGTGACGTCATCAGAAGCAGGGTGGGCAGAGTTAATGCACACGCATGGTGATAATGGATACCTTCATGATGTGAGTTATCATTGATTATTTTTTTAATAATATTATGAATGAACCGTCTTGTTGTTATATCTCAAATTTTTTGCTCAGACTCTGCTCAGAGAGCACAGAGATGATAGCAAATAAGTAAAGCTAACGTATATGCAGCCATGGCACTGGACGAGCAATCGTTATTATAATCCAAATGGGCAAACAGTCTAAAGTATTATGCAAGTTGACTTGAGATAAAAAAAATGCAAAAGTGCAAAGTCGCATTTGTCATCCGTCACCGTGACAGCAAGTGGACTTTTGAAACTGGAATAATGAGTGGATTAGGCATTTCAATTGGCAAGAGAGGAATAAGACGGATGGAACTTTCTTGGCAAGGAGGATTGTGTGCATCACAGTCAGGTACAAGGGAGAAGGCTTCTTACATTAGGTAAGATAAAAAGTTTAATTTTCGCAACTTGTTTATCGACTTGTTAATAGCAATTTGCTGTGGAATATGTGCCGATCGGGTCCAGTCGGGTCTGTGTCTTCCCGGCCGGGTTCGGGTCCATCTTTGAAATAATTGACGGTCCGCGTCGGTTCCGGGTAGTACATTTTTGACATTTCTTGGTTCTGCATGGGCCCGGGTCCAACTTTCAAAATAATAGACTGGTCCGGGTCGGTTCAGTGTAGCACATTTACGGGTCCCCTTACGGGGAAGTTACGGTGTTTTGTCTTTGCACGGCAGCACTGCTGTCACCATAGACAGGTGAGGTTTCAGCAACTAGCACCTCAGCTTCACCCACGTCTCGCATTTTTGCCCATTTTCGATTATCCGGGAGTGACGCACGGTGACACGCTGCCAAGATGGCGGCGGTCGGCTCCGCCCACTTTAGGCTGCAAAAATGCTCTTCTGTTCTGAACCATACGAGTGACGTCACGGACACTACGTCCATGTTTTTTTTTACAGTCTATGGGGGTGACGCAGAATTAAAATGTTTTTCAGGAGTCACGGCAGTAGAGGCGGTGTCATGAGAAATCGAGTCCGGTTAGGACACCGAGTGATCCCATTGGCTCAACAAACTTTTAATGGGTATTATTTTTAGCACCTGATTACATTCCTGCAAAATCGCGCTTTGATTTATGTCGTTTGAACTTCGTAATAATGACCATTAATGTGTTTTAAATTACATGTTTCAGACGCTAGAAACCGAAGCTATAGGTTGTGAAATCAAACATTTCTCGTTTTTATTATTTTTATTATTTTTTGTTAGCTCACGTACTAGCAAAGCATACAGCTACCCGATTAGCCTGCTAGGTTAGCTTATACACCACACATTTGCACTTACCATACATATATTCACAACGAAATAGCAACATAAGTGTTGACTTTTGATCAGGCATTTAAAACAGCTACTGCCTTGGTCCTAAGTGGACCCGATTTCGAGGGGGGACTCGATTTCTCATGACAGCGGTGCAACTATAACGATATGTAAATAATCCCGCCCACTCGAAAACGATACTAAACTGCAGTGGCAACACAAGCCGAGCCGTACCACGCAGTGGAAAAGTGCCATGGAGGACACCAGTTTTATTCCTGCAGATTTATTAAAGTTTATGGCCCACCCAACTTAGGAATTTGGGCATCAAAATGATTCCCAAAAATTCCCAATTTTTACCTAGGAAACTAATATTTGTGATAGGAGCTCATTTGCATTTACAGATACATTCAAAGAAAATCAGCCATTTTTTTCTCCCAACCAAAAAAGGGGGTTACAACATGGTATAATAAATAATCTGTGGGATATTTTGAGCTGAAACTTCACAGACATATTCTGGGGACACCTGAGACTTAAATTACATCTTGCAAGAAGTGGCATGATAGGTCCTCTTTAATAAAAAGTGAGTTCAAATTCTTAGTTGCAATCTATAATTCAAGACTTAACATGCAAAAGCAGCTAAATGCCACTTCCATCAAAAATGAGATGATACTGAGCGAAAGCTCTCCGCACATAGCATACGTTCATCAAATATTTTCACTTCAAACCTGTTCAATTCCAGCCTCAGCCCATTCAGAAATACCAGTTAATTGACAGAAACCGCTAAACGCCACCTACCTTTGTCAGCAAAAGCCTCGTTAAGCTGCAAGTTTAAAGATTCTCTCTTTAAATATTTCTATTAGAATTTTGCATTACACACATAAACAACAACCAGAAAAATGGGAAAAGGGGAAAAAAACAAAAACGTTAAGAGATTTTTAACTAAAGCTGATGGAGTATCTGAAGAAAAGCATATGGATGAGCCTTTGGTAGTTTCAGTCAATGACGGAAGGAAACATCCTGCTCGTTATAAAGCTAAAGAAAATTGTTATAATGGTAATAACAGGTTTTTGTGGGTAGCATGTAAAAGGCATGTAAGGTATTTGGCAAAAAAAAAAAAAGCTAACATGGACCTTGTTGGTTTTGCAGCAAAAGACTATCAAATTAGTTAAATACACAGTTAAATCCCGAGTGTTAAATGAACACTGCTCGGAGCATATATGGTCCCACTCTAAAAGAGTGTTAAAGTAACACTGAAGCAGTGTTAAAGTTAATGAGATAATTATGTGATTAATTAAGTGCTGATTGAGCATTAGTGATGAACACCTGCTGTTAAGAAGCAGAATCACTGAAGAAAAGAGAAACACAAGAACTACAACTGACTTCAGCCACAGTCTTAGATGAAATCAACTGAAATAAAAGAAGACATTAAATCTCGCAAGATCTCAGCAGAAGATGATTACACAACTCTACAAACAGCATCACCAGCTTCATGCATTACTAACCAGTTAGACTATCTAAAACAGAAGTTCTTTATTTAGAATTAATATTTAGATTTTTTTTTTCAACTTACCGTTTTTGTGAATAGTAGTTGCTTTAGTTGCCTCTTGACCCTTGAGTTTTTAAATGTAAGTTTCTCTTTGTCTGGCACAATTGTGTGTGTGTGTGTGTGTGTGTGTGTGTGTGTGAGTGTGAGTGTGAGTGTGAGTGTGAGTGAGTGAGTGAGTGAAACACATACGTGATGCGCAAGCAACTCATGGTACAATCATGTCTCTGCAGCCATATATGCATATAAATATGAATATTCTGATCATTTTTATGTGATTTTTGAACATCACAAAACGAGGCAGTAAAAAGTCACAAAAAGTAAAAGCTAATACTAAGACAATGCAGCTGCATTATTTATTCATGTCGCAATGCATGCTGGGAGCCATGGATGAGTTATGATTGGTGCACCCAGAATGCAATGCAACATGAATCTGTCTGATGATCATCACCATTGTTGTTCATATGCTGATTCTTGATGTCTGTGTGGCTAAACAGTACAAATGCTCTAAATGTCTTATTTCATTAAAATACAGTTGTGATCAGTAACTAACTATAGTACACATTACCACTGATGATATCAGTGAACCTGGCTACAACATGACAATTACGTCATTATCAAAAAAAACAGCCAATATCATCTTCAATACAAAGTACAATACATTTTCTCTGGGTTTTTCTTGCCATAACAAATGTGTGTCATAAACACAGTTACAGCAACCAGAGACAAACTAATGTTAAAAAAGTCAAGGGTCAAGAGCACAACTAAAGCAAACACTTATCTCAACAGCGGTGACTTCAGATTGTATTATTTTCAATAAACATTAACGTCTAAATCTCTGTTAATTCTTAATAAGACATTTTTAGACGCATGACAAACAAAAAATCAAACTGGTTAGTAATGCATGAAGCTGGTGATGTTGTTTGTAGAGTTGTGTAATCATCTTCTGCTGAGATGTTGAGAGATTTAATGTCTTCTTTTATTTCAGTTGATTTCATCTAAGACTGTGGCTGAAGTCAGTTGTAGTTCTTGTGTTTCTCTTTTCTTCAGTGATTCTGCTTGTTTAACAGCAGGTGTTCATCACTAATGCTCAATCAGCACTTAATTAATCACATAATTATCTCATTAACTTTAACACTGCTTCAGTGTTACTTTAACACTCTTTTAGAGTGGGACCATATATGCTCCGAGCAGTGTTCATTTAACACTCGGGATTTAACTGTGTACCAATTAATGGACTAAAGTTACATTTTTGAAAACATGGCATATCAATAGCTGACTAATAACCTTTTTATTGCCATTGAAGTGAAATTACTGGACATAAATATAGGAGCCTGATAAAAATGCTCCTTTTAAAAGAAAAATGGCAGACGAACTTAGAGGTTTTTGCATTTGAAGTCCTTAATTGATTACCACTGTGCCCTTATATATTGTTAATACATTCACACAAACTGATGGTATGTTATTCAGTTAATGTTACAAATCCTCAATATCGGAATGTTGACTCTTTATTCTTTATTCTTTTCATGTTGATTATGGTTAAACCAACTATCCAGACCAGCCCAAAAAACACCTGCTGATAGGACACATGATCAGTCTGTGAAACAACCACAGGATTTTAATGAAAGCACGTGTCCTGGTTTGAGGTAAAATGTTGGATGTTTTTATAATTGTTTTAGGTGCTGTAATAATCACACATCACTAAACACATGATTAACAATCAAACACATTTCATAAACTATCTGTCAAGTCACCTTTATTTATATAGCGCTTTTAACAATACAGATTGTGTCAAAGCAGCTTTACAGCATCAAATATGAAAATAGTGTGTCAATGCAAAACGACAATGGTAACACTCAATTTTCAGTTGAAGGTAGTTTATCATTGAATTCAGTGATGTCATCATCCAGCTCAGTTCAGTTTAAATAGTATCTGTGCAATAATTTGCAATCAAGTCGACGATATCGCTGGAAATGAAGCGTCCCCAACTAAGCAAGCCAGAGGCGACAGCGGCAAGAAACCAAAACTCCATCGGTGACAGAATGGAGAAAAAACCTTGGGAGAAACCAGGCTCAGTCGGGTAAAACCAGCAGTTCAATTCCAGGCTGCAGCAAAGTCAGATTGTGCAGAGGACTCAACTGGTTCCTGTGGTCTTGTCCTGGTGGCTGTCATGTCCCATTATAAAGAGGCACAAAATCACTTTCACAGACTTTTAAATTAAATGTTCCCTCCTGGTGGAATGACCCGCCCACTCTAGCACTCTCTAGTCTAATGGCGCTTTTCTACTGCATGGTACGGCACGGTACAGCTCAGTACGGTTCACTTTTGGGTGGTTTTCCACTGGGTACAGTACCTGGTACCTGGTACTTTTTTTAGTACCACTTCAGTTGGAGTTCCAAGTGAACCGTACCGTTACCAAAACGTGACGTGTAAACTCTGCTGATCACGGATTGGCCGGAGAGAATCGTCACTACCTGAGTCACTGAACTTACGACACAAACACAAAAGAACCGCTAGATTTAAATCAGCACAGCCAGCGAAGGATCGAAAGCAACTGTTTTGAACGAGCGCACCTTTTTTTAACAACCAAAAAGTTTTGTTGTCTGTTGAGGAAGAACAGACGTTCCTCTCGTTGATAGCAGAGGAGCGGATCCAGCAAGAGCTTAATGGGGCGACGTGGAATGAAGAAGTTTTTTTTAGGAGTCGTGGTAGTAGAGGCAGCGCAACTATAACGACATGTGAATAATCCCTCCCACTCTAAAGCGGTACTGAACTGCGGTGGAAACGCAAACCGTGCTGAGCCGAACCGTGCCGTGCCATACTGTGCCGAGCCGAGTCGTACCACGCAGTGGAAAAGCGCCATAATGTTATTATTCATTAAAAAAAACTTGCCCCTTTTAGAATTGCACTCTATTTTTTTACTAACTGCTTGTTTTCTTAAAAAAAAAAACACTAGCTTCTCTAATCTTTTTCTATTCTATCTATTTGTTTTTATTATATAATCTTAAAAACCTTGCTACGTGTACTGCATTAAACTGAGACTTATTACAACACTTGCATATCATTGCTCTTTTGTTGATTTTGATTGCTTTTATTGTCCTCATTTGTAAGTCGCTTTGGATAAAAGTGTCTGCTAAATGATTAAATGTAAATGTATATATATATATATATACAGTATATATAACATTTTGCTATCTATAGCTCTGTACATTTACTTCCTAAACTTGTGTAATAATCTGGTATTTTAATTTTACAGCCATGACTCTGAAGTCCTCAACACATTTAGATCAAACCTGATGAAGAAGTTTGAGTGTCTGTATGAGGGAATGGCAAAACAGGGAAACCCAACACTGCTGAGTGAGATCTACACAGAGCTCTACATCACAGAGAGTGAGAGTGGAGAGATCAGTAATGAGCATGAGGTGAGACAGATTGAGACACAATCCAGGAGAGCAGCAACAGAGGACACAGCCATTAAATGCAATGACATCTTTAGAGCTTTACCTGGACAAGACAGAGCCATCAGAACTGTGCTGACAAAGGGAGTCGCTGGCATTGGAAAAACAGTCTCTGTGCAGAAGTTCATCCTGGACTGGGCTGAAGGGAAAGAGAATCAGGACGTCCAGCTCATATTTCCACTTCCTTTCAGAGAAATCAATCTGATGAAGGACAAAACACTCAGTCTTTCAGATCTTCTTCATGT